CAATATAGCCTCCAGGTTCTTGTTCAGTTTAACAGTCACAGAGACCTCTGACTTTGGTGGTTTAGAGCAACATCTTCCAACAGTTAATAATGTCTCAGGTAGGGGCACCTGGGTGGCTCAACTGGTTAAGCATCGGACTCTTGGTTTCAGCTCAGGTCTTGATCTCATGATTTTGTGAGTTCGAGCCCCACATGTGAGTTCGAACCCCACAGGGAGCCTGCTTGGGATTCTCCCTCTCTCTCTCCCTCTCTCTCCCTCTCTGTCTCTCTCTCTGCCCCTCCCCCACTCACACTGTCTCTGTCTCTCTCAAAATAAATAAATACACTTAAAAAAAATAATGTCTCAGGTAGGACAGTGTGAAATAGAAAATATATTGGTCTCTGCCTCTGTTTCCTGGCACAAAGCCCCTAAATCCCTTGTAATTTCCGAAGTTATAAGAGCAATAGGGGCGTATTTTGTTCTAATACTTGGTCTGTGACCCTGATTCCTGACACACAGGTCTAAAATCCCTGGAATTTTTTCTTTTTCTTTTTAAATTTTTTTTCAACGTTTTTTATTTTTTATTTTTGGGACGGAGAGAGACAGAGCATGAACGGGGGAGGGGCAGAGAGAGAGGGAGACACAGAATCGGAAGCAGGCTCCAGGCTCTGAGCCATCAGCCCAGAGCCCGACGCGGGGCTCGAACTCACGGACCGCGAGATCGTGACCTGGCTGAAGTCGGACGCTTAACCAACTGCGCCACCCAGGCGCCCCCCTGGAATTTTTTCTGAGTGATACGAGTGTCTTTTGTGATACGAGTGTCTTTTGTTCTAAAGAGGCAGACCTTGGTGGGCTCCCGAATGGGAGCTGGTCACCAGAAAGACCCTGACCAATACGTTCTTCCACCCGGCTATATCTGAGTTATATTCTTTTACAATAAACCAGTACTGTAGTAAGTAAACTGTTTACCTGAGTTCTGTGGACTGTTCTAGCAAATGTATCGAACCAGAGTAGGAAGTCTCATAATGAGATGGGGAAACTGAAGGGACCCCATTAAAAAAAGCTGTTTCCCCCCTCATTGCTCCTTTTCCAGCTTCCATTTTTGCTAGGGCCTGCACCCCCACCTCACTCTACACATGCCTTGTAATGCAAATAGCATGCGTCCTCCTTGTGAGGGACAAAGAGACAATGATATCTTTGGAACTTTCCAGCACAATAGCTAACATCTAAGGAGTGATTGGGTGGGGTCGCCTCCAAGACCACTGACTCCAAACACCTTGATGCCAAGACCCCCTGGCTTCAGGGAATGAGTGACTTATGAAGGACACCTGGATCCTGTCCTTGCTCTGACCAGTTCCCTGATTCCTAAGAGGACATGTGCACAAGACCACAGTTGCCAATAAAAACCAAAGACCCCAAGCAAAGAGGAGACTCACACTCTTTTCCTTTCCGAGTCTCCTGGACACTCTGTATATATACATCTATATATATCTTCAGTAAATTCTGCTTTCACTCCCCGCCGGCTCACATTTGATTTCCATCCTGCATGAAGCCAAGAACCCTCTCAATTAGTCCTGTGGGGCCCCCTCTCTGGGTCCTCGGACCCAGCTGCCTGCATCAATAAGAACCTCCAATTTATAGCCAGTTGGTCAGAAGCACAGGTGACAACGTGGACTTGTGATTGCCGTCTGAAGTGGGGGAGGGGACGGGCTTATAGGACTGAGTCCTTAACCTGTGGGATCTGACAGTGTCTCCAGGTAGACAGTGTCAAAATCGAGTTGAATTATAGGACACCCAGCTGCTGTCTCAGAGAGTTGCTGGTAGAGGAAACACTATCACACATTTGGCAACCAGACATGTCAGAAGTATTGTGTGAATAAAAGAACAGCCTAGGGGGGCGCCTGGGTGGCTCAGTCAGTTGGGCGTCCGACTTCGGCTCAGGTCATGATCTCGCGGTCCGTGAGTTCGAGCCCCGCGTCGGGCTCTGTGCTGACAGCTCGGAGCCTGGAGCCTGTTTCGGATTCTGTGTCTCCCTCTCTCTGACCCTCCCCCGTTCATGCTCTGTCTCTCTCTGTCTCAAAAATAAATAAACGTATAAAAAAAAAAAAACATAGGAATGTGTTTTTCCAACTCAGGGACACAACAGAGCATAATGAAGATACGGAGTTTTCCAGGGCCATTCAAAGGGCACATATGCCAAAGTTCTTGGGCAAATTTGTTATTATTAGCATTAAAGTTTATAATGTTCCACTGTTCAAATATAACATGTATTTATTTTTTTAAATTTTGCTTGGTGTCATAATATCTGGTGACCGTGTTGGGCTTTACTCTGACCCTGTAAGTCTGGAAAAATAGCACTGCTCACTGCAAAGAACCACCTTTCCACACATGACCTCAGTGAGACGAAACAGGACTTCCGCCACCTCCATTTGGACCTCAGTCTGTACTTTTTCTTCTTTCCAGTTTACCTTAACTCAGGCAAAAAAAGACCCTGCTGGATCCAAAATTACCCTCAAGCAATAACGACTGTCCTGAGCCAGCAAGACCCCATGTAATTGACCCCAGGACAATGGTCAACCCGACCTTTGCTGCCCAGCTGCACGTCCCCACAGATCTTTGTCCCACGTTTCCTTATATAAACCTAGAAGTATTTTCAGCACTTTGGAGACAGGCTTTCAGCCGTTAGTCCCTGGTCTTCCGGGTGTTGACCTCCCTGAAATAGATTCCTTTCTTGTTCCATCACCGCTTGTGTCTCTGCCTTTGGATTTTGTCAGTGGAAAGTGGCCAAACCTGGTGTGTTTGGGGACCCCTGAGCCAGGTGCTCTTGCACCCCTGTGCCCCATTTATCTAGAAGCAAGGCAGACACAGACCCTCCAAATCCCCATCCTTTCTCCCATCAATGATTACTGAATTGTTTGTACCCACTTATCAATAGGAACTGAAGGAAACCAGCATCTGTCAGTCCAAAATATGCCACTTTGGCATACTGATTATTTTGA